TTCACATCACCCACCACCTTCTTATTCTTCACCTCCTACAGAATAAACTCTCTTGATGGAGTTTTAGGCACTGGGGACAAGTCAGTGGGAGAGATATTTTGGGGCAGTGATTCTTAAGTTTCCATGTCGGCGGCTGCTGGTTTGTGTGCCTCTCCTTCTCAGTCACTAACGCGTGTGGGTTTGTGTTTCAAAACAAGACACCCACAGATACACAGATTTTCTTTCTTTCTCTCTCCATTTAGTTTGAGCTACTTAAGGGAACTACATCCTATTTAACCCTGTTCATTGAGTATTTAGCCCTAGAAGTTCAATAAGTATTTGTTGAATGAATAAAAAGAAATCTATTCCCTACTTCCTGAGGAAAGGAGTGATACCTAATCATGAGTAGAGACTTTGTGATATCAAGCCCTGGAAAGGCCATCTTTAATTGTCTTATGGTAGAGGGGCGGAATGGAGGGAGGTCAGTGGATTTTGGAAACAGAACTTGTCCATTCATTTATCAATGTATTCAACAAATATTTGCCTAGTCCTATGCTAGGCATTTGATGTACAGTGGTGAATACAACACATGGTCTTGTCTTCATGGAATTCACAGTCTACTGGGGAGGCAGATGTGTAAATCAGCAAACAAAACAATAAACTATATAAGTGCTATGAAGGAAATAATGGGGTGTTAGAACAGACACTAATAGATGGGGTGGCCAGAGGAGGCCTTTTTGAGGAGGATACAGTAGAACTGAAACATAAAGAATGAGAGGGTCAAGGAAGCACAGAGCTTGGTATAGTTAAGGTACCAAAAGCAAGCCAGTGGGTCTGGAGCAGGATGATCAGAGAGAGAATGATACGCTAGAAGATGCAGATGCAAGGGCCATGGTAAGGAATTTGGACTTTATTCTAAGTTAAACTTCTTTAGGAAAACAGAAAATTGAATCCATAATCCTGAACAAAGAACTTAGAATTGTATTTGGCATGTAGCAAGTACTCCATAAACGTTAGCCATTATATATATATATATATATATATATATATATATATATATATATATATATATATATATATATATATAGTACTATATATATATAGTACCGAACTAAACTAGCAAGGCTTGGTCAAAATAGTAGAATGGAATGATCAAAACGTGAACAATGAAAAAAATATTTACCTGATAAGCATAGTTTTTATTTAGCAACTTCTCTACACAACCAGCCAAATTCCAGACAAAAACCAGTCAAATTCCACTTATAAAAGGGAAAGCTTGTGTTTGATTGACCCTCTGATATTCAATATTTTTTTTATTTTAAACAATCAAAGGATAGCATAGAGGACTGTATTGTCGGTACCCTAATTTTATTATTATTATTTTTAATTATTTTTTTTAAAGATTTTTATTGGGGAATTGGGGGGAAGGGAACAGTGGTGGGGAATTGGGGGAAGGGGAACAGACACGTTGCTGTCGTTTTGTTCTTCAGTCTAGTTGTGGAGGACGTTGCTTCACTGGCCCAATTTGGCACCATCATTGCGCTCTTCCAGGGCGAGGCAGATCAGTCGCCAGCTTCTGGACGGCCGGTCACTGCGGCTGCTGGCCGCTCACGCTGGCTGCTGGCTACACACGGTAGCCCATGGCAACCCACTGCCACGGGGGCTGCAGCCTACACCGTCGCCGGCGACTCAGGACAGCCCAGCTCCAGGTTGAGCTGTTGTTCAGCATCTCAGCTGTGGAGGGCAGTGTCACTGGCCCTCATATGTGGGATCCGAACCGGGGCCCTCTGGCGTCCCAAACCAGTTCTTAACCATCGCGCCACTCGGCCGGCCCCTCGGTACCCTAATTTTAAAAATAGATGAGGTGGATCATTTCATCTGCTCACATAAACCAGTGTAAGTTTTTACCATAGGTGGCCATTTCAGAAATGAAAGTTACAGCTAATCAAATACTTAGCCCACATGCCTTGGTGATTTTAATGATAAGATTTGTTGCTATGAGACAAAAACATGTTGTGTGGGAAATAATCTGTTAGAAATCATATGACCTTGATTCAAAGGCTTTTGATTAATAACACTAACATCCACTTTCTGAAAAAGAAACAAACCCTATGATTAGAGTTGGTAGTCCTTTTAAAACAAAACATCATTAGCCACTTATTAATGGGTATGCTTCAAACATTAAAAATGTTCAAGGCCACTAGCAAAGTTTCTCCTCTTTTACCTTGTCTTTCTTCTTCGTACTTTCAGAGGAATACACTGAGAAAAAAACAAAACAAAACAAATGGACAGCAAATGAGAAGTAGCCTAGAAGACCCGAAACCTAGCAAGCAGATTGTGCAGTCCTAAATGGCTTCTTGTGTGTGTGTGTGTGTGTGTGTGTGTGTGTGTGTAGTTGGTTTTGTAACTATTTAATCTTCATTCATTCGTTTATTGGGCATCCCCTGGTGCCATGACTGTGCTTGGAGACATCATGGCAAACAGACATGGTCTGTGCTTCCACAGAGCTTAGATGCTAGAAGGGAAAGCAGGCAAGGAGTTGACAAGTAAGAGTCATGCTTACTTACACAAACACATAAGAAGCGCCATGAAGAAAAGGAAATGGTGAAAGGGAGGATGGGATATGGCAACTGGGTCAAGGGGTGGGCCTCTTTGAACAGGTGATATCTGAGCTGAGCCCTGAGTGACAAGAAGTTGATCTGTAGAGATATAAAGCAAAGTATTCTGGGCAGAGAGGTTGGCAAACTCAGGGTCCCAGAGGTGAGGACAAGCCTGGGGTGTTCAAGATGAAGAAAGACTACCAGGGTAGCTGGGGCTTGGTGAGCGCATGAGAGTGTCGTAGAAATGAGATCAAGAAGGGCGGGGACCCAATCATGCAGGGTGGATTTTAAGTGCAATGGGGGAATCCCTGGAGGATTGTACCTAAAGCTGGTTTTGTAAGTGGTCCACTCATGCAAGACTCATGTAAAAGCAGGGCTGGCCCCTGCCTGGTGACCTGATAGCAGTGGCTTTTTTTGCCCTTTTCTAGCTGGGGAAAAGCAGCAGTAGTGACCCGACCTGTTGGCCTGAAAACCCAACTGGCAATCTCAACCGCTTGGAATATATATGACCTGCCCCAGGAAGGCTGTAAAAGTAAAACCTACCGTGTTTCTCCAAAAATAAGACCTAACTGGAAAATAAGCCCTAGCGTGATTTTTCAGGATGCTTGTAATATAAACCCTACCCCAAACATAAGCCCCAGTTAGGATTGTCAGCCAGACATGACTGTTTGAATACATGTAGATTTTTGCACATGAATAAATGTAAATTGTTGGAGCAAAAGTTAATATTAAGACCCGGTCTCATTTTCAGGGAAACACGGTATGTAGTGTATCTTGTCCTAGACCAAAGGGTGTCTACAGTCCTGTCTCCCCATTCTTAGAGATGCCCTCCAAATCATGGTCTCCTTTATCAGCCAGGGGCCTGGGATAGGTCCAGGCAGATCCATTTATCTTCCTCCTCTTCCGTAAGCCCTTAATACCATGACCAGGCCTGAGCAACAGTAGGGCAAGGGTTACAGTCAGGGCCAGAAGACAACCTGGGCTGGAGGGGAATGGTCACTTTTGCCAGAGGAAGCATGATGGGAAGGAGCTGGCTGGTGTCACGGGTCAAATCAGACAACAGATTGAATCCAGGGAATCTGACCACGTTTGAGAGACTGGCTTGGGCATTTTCCCAGGATCACCCACCCAAGCTGCCTGTGTCCCAACAGTGGAGACCTAGAGGCAGTCACACTAGTGAACACTCACATCATTTATCTTCTGTTCTGTGTTTGAGGCCATCGTTCCCCTGAATGTTCCCCTGAAAACTTCTGTGGCCTCTTACTTACCAAAGTAAGAATACAATTCTTAGCCACGTTCTTATCCTCTCTACATTCTGGTTCCAATGTACCTTATCTGTTACTTTCGTGCTTGCTTGCAAGTTTTATTTCACTTCATTTCCCTGGATTTATCCTACCTACAGTGGGAAGGCTTGATTATTACTTTTATAATCAGAAAAAATAATAAAAACCAATAAATATGTTTTTTTTAAAAACATGGTTCCTTCTTGCCCTACCTGGCTTTGCCTCCTGGATCATCCAAACTCATTTTGCAGGGTTACCCACTTGGCTCTCTCTAGTCCCCTCAGAGGCTGGGCCTACCCCTAAGGCACATCCCCACCTCTCCGGTTTCCGATACTTGAGCCCCTTTGGGCCTGGACAGTTCCCTCAGATCCTTCCTCTCTCACCCTTCCTGGGCTCCCTGCATCCCTCCTCTGGCATCAGTGCTCTTTTCTCCCCTGGTCCGACAGGCTGCCCTTCATCCCTTGGGACCTTGCTGCTCCTGGGCTTGGCTGTGACCAACTTTCTCCCAGGTTACACATTAACATAAGCCACTGCCAGCTCTGGCTGTGCTCCAAGCCCTGCCTTCTAACTGCCTGGTTCCAAGTGTACGTAGAATTTAGCAAGAGAGGACCAAGAAAGTTGGGTGATGTTGCCAACCGGTTGGCTACTTCCCAGAGGTATGAGCCAAGTTTTAATTCATTTATTTCTTCCTAAGAGAAGTGGGGTGTGCACTTGGAAGGAAAGGAAAGAGTAGTGATTCTGTGTCTGTCATAGGGACAATTTCTCATAGCCTTGGGTTCTAGAAACTTGGGGAATTATGGTTGGAATGTTGGTGTGGGAGAGGTTCTTCATGGTTGGGTTACCCTAAGTTCTTATTAAAATAGGGGCCTGTATGGAGCTTTGCACTTTTAAGTTAGAACACCAAACTCATGATTTGACAGATGTTTTTATTTAGGAAGAAAGAAAAACAATGAAAACAATAAGGATAGAATATGAGTAAACGACAGTACAGAAATATGGCAAACATCATGGAGGTGTTAACTGATATTTGGAACCCTCAGTTGGTATCAAGACAAAAAATTGCACCGAGTTTACCTCTCTTTTCACATGAAGGAGTAGAGTCAGCCTTCCCTGTTCTCTTTGCTGTCTTCACCTACAGATGGCCACGTCTACCCTCGAGCAGCCTACCAGCAAGTGATTCAGCCAGCTCTGCCTGGGCAGCCCCTACCTGGAGCCAGTGGGAGGGGCGTGCACCCTGTGCAGAAAGTGTTCCTAAATTATCCCAGCCCCTGGGACCAAGAAGAAAGGCCCGCACAAAGAGACTTTTCCTCCCCTGGGATCCCAAGGTATCAGTAAGTACAATGGGGTCAACTTGCAAACAGTTTTAACATGAAAAAGCATGATGCCAATGCAATGACGATGTATGAAAACTCTGTTGGTTTACTACCCAAGTTAGTGGCCAAGTCACACAGTGGAACACTGCACATAGACTTTTCAGATCAGGAGGAAATGGAAGCTAGTTGACAAGAATCTCTTTACCAGGCATATAAAGCCACTGATGACTAGTCAAAATTTTCTTGAAGCAACCGCTCTTAAGATGCTAAGTCATACTCCTTTCTTTTACTTTCAGATCACCAGGTCTTTTAGCCCATGAAATAGACTCCTATTTTTATTATGACTGACTCCTACCTCTAGGAAGTTTTTTTTATATTCCTCATTTCTTACTTTGGAATTTTAAATTCAGTTAGTTCCCAATAGAAATTTAAAATAACCTGTTATCTTCTTTTGTGACAAAAGCATTCACACATGTTGAATGCCATTATTAGGTCTTTCCTATACTTCTTCTAGAAATACAGTTCTGATTTTTCTTGATTTCAGTTGTCTAACCCTTTAATCATTTTTCTCCACACTGTTCTCTTTTGACTCTTCTTCAGGTTTTCCTTTTCTCTTAATTTATGGATCTAAATTACATAGGAAAAACTCGTGTACATGCAGCTTCCTAATTTACGACAAAATTAGAAAGAGAGTAGATGAAATGTTTGCTCTGCTGAAGCACCACTTTTATATACCACTCAGAGTAAAACTGTATTCTGTTTTGAGAACAGAAAGAGGTAGGAAGGTCCTGTTAAAGCATATTTTTCAGAAATACAGAAATTAGTAATTAGCTTAAAAGGTTTATTGAAAGAAAAAAAGCCCGCCCTCTTTACAATGACAGATAAGGCACATGCCTGCTTTCCCCTTTACTCAAAAGCCCACAAGCCCTCAGATTTTCTTTCCAGATAAATCCTTTATTTATTTATTTTTATTTATTTTATTTATTTTTAATTTTATTGGGGAACAGCCATGATCATTGGTTACACATTGCTTTCATGCTACAATGACATAGTTGACTTATTTAAGGAGAGCGCAGCTCAGTGGCCCATGCGGGGATCAAACTGGCAATCTTAGTGTTATCAGCACGATGCTCTAACCAACTGAGCTAACCGGTCACCTTAATCTTTTATTTTTTTAAAAAATTGCATAGGGTTTGAATAATAGAATTAAGCAAGATATGATTTACAACTAGATAAGTATTTTTGTAGAAGAAATATCTAGAATTCTAAGAAAACAAATAAAATTTAAGCATCTTTATGAAGCACATTTGGTGTTGAACAGGGGAGGCAATAGTAACTTTTAAAATAAACATTTATTTTTAAATAATTTTAAATTTGTAGGAGAATTGCAAATAAAATGCAGAGTAATTGCTTTTGTAACATCAATTTAAGCCTGCTATGGTCTCCTTGGATTTATTTTATCATTTTAAGATAATGAAAAATAAGGTCAGGTAATGAAGCTAATTCTCCTCCTACTGATAATTTGAAAGAGAACCTTAATACAGGAAGCTTACTCTGTCATTAATCTTCATGGTAGTGTTTTTATATGGAAGTTTTTAAATATTATCAAGGCCTTGACATTTCTTTATCAAATGAGCAGTTATCTTTTATAACAACTAAGCAATTTGGGGTATAAAAGAATTTAATACAAAAAGGATATGGAACCGGATCCCTATTAGATGAAGGCACATTTTATAGATTTTTTTGGTATACATTAATAAAAATATACAATGAAAATAACTTCCTCAAATATGCACATTTTAGAAATATAGTATAGTTGAGATTGTGTAATTTTATTTAAAATCCTAGCACATAAGACTTTCAGAATCTCTACTCTTTTGGGTAAAACTATGAAAGCATAAGCAACAATCTATAAACACTTGGCATATACACCTAGATTTTGTAATCAAAATATTTTTTTTAATTTAAATTATAAAATAATCTCAAATACACAACAAATAGAAACCATCCATGTTCCCACTACCTAGATTTTTTTACTGTTTACCTAGTGCCACATTTTCTTCAAAGTTTTTTTTTTAAAGAAATAAAACATTACAGACATAATTTTAGTCCTCTTATCAGTTAGGATTCAGTTACAGAAAACAGAAACATCTCTAGTTATTTTAAGCAGAAGGAATTTAATGTGGGAACTAGGTGCTTACAGAATGGTTGGAGGTTAGAGGAACAAGCTTTGGGCTGGGCTTCTAGAAATGACCCCAGAGCAACACCACAGAACAGTACACTGAAGTGGCTGCTTCCTCTGTCACTGTCAGAGGCAGAGCATCAGAAAGCCACTGTGGAACTCTCCATTCTAGGTCACATTTGTCCTAGTACGATCCAGAATCAGATAGCCACCAGCAGTGCAACTATCGGATCCATTCTGTGCTTGCTAGATCTGCACTGGCCAAAAACGGATGCCCATGCCCTGACCTTGACACTGGAAGCTAGTATCGGGACACTGGGATGCTTCCCAGGAAACTCAGCACCTCATAATGGCACTTACCAACAGAAACCACAAAAATGGCAGAAGCATGGTTTCCATTTCCTTCTGCTTTCCAAATTTCTCTGAGTGTGTCTGGCTGTTCTTACAGGAATACTGGCGACGAAAACAATGATAAAGATGCCATGTCACCATGTGGTAGAAACTTTCTTACAGGGTCTTCAAAATCAATTTCATCCACCTATTAACATGAATCTTTTTAAACCTACATGGCCTTTTCTACTTTTTGATACATAATTAAATGTTATCTATTATGAGCTAAAAGTCCTATTTTTTTATCCAAATGCCTATAACACCAACCTAGTATGTCACCCATTATACTGTTTTACTGGTGACTTTATCTGCCCTTGCAAGAGACCTATCTTCCCAATTAGACAGTTCTTGAATCAAGAGATCAAATCCTGCTTCCCTCTTTCACCCCTAGCACAGGCCCTTACCGACGGCAGCCGGCTGAATTGCTTGCTCATTGACTGAAAGTCCATAGAGCAACCCTTGTCCCTCTGACTCAGAAAAGAAATGGAAGCAGAAGAGAGAAATAGCTCACTGGCATCTTCCCATAGCTCTTAAACATTTCTGTTCTATAAGCTATACCTTTTGTCAAAAATGAAAATTTTATTGTAAATGTATTCCTTTTCCAGGGACCAGCTATATAACCAGCCACCTAATAGAGCTGGAGCTCCGAAGGACTCCTTGGAGTGTCCCGCAGAGTTGAGACCACAGGGTCCCCAGGCTCCATCCCCAGCTGCTGTCCCTAGACCTCCTAGTAACCCTCCAGCCAGAGGAACGCTGAAAATAAGCAATTTGCCAGAAGAATTGCGTAAGTTGTTTACAATGTTCTTTGTGTTTTTTTTTTTTTTTTCTTTCCTTCTTCTTGCCCGGTCTTATACTTTGAGAGTACTTCCTGATTATTCAACCATAACTTTGGATATTTCTCATATACACAGTGAAATAAAATTTACCTTTTTGCCTTTTGCTAAAAAAGTACCAGCATTTTGTATGAATGAATGTGTTTAGTGATTCTGACACTGCCAGGAATCCTTACAAAGTGCTTTCCACTAGATTTTCTTAAGCATACACTTCAACAACAAATAACCCCAATGCTTTCTCCCTTTTCCAAATGATGTTCTTTAGCGGACTTGTCCCTGGGCAAATTGATTGGATGACCATGTGGTATTGGTCAGAGACCTAGCATCTCACCATAAATTAGCAGCAGCCATCGAGAACAAGGTCATTTCCTGTAGGAATGAGCAATCTTTTTGGGAAAAAGCGGTCTCACATTCTCCATACTGTTTTACAACCAGATGCAAACTAAGCCTTTTATTTAAAGAAACATTCGACTAAGTGTCAGGTGATGATTCTTTTTCTACGTTTTGCAGCCAGAAACAGAAATGTTGAAATATCACCAAAATGTTCTCATGTTAAGGCTAGCCAGGACAGTATCTTCCAGAAATCTTAAGAAAACAGCCACTGCTTCTGACATTGTTATATTTTCTTGTGCTTGGTAGAGAATTCCAAGAAGTCCTGTCCAAATCTGGGCACTTCTTTGAACCAAACTTGAAAATTAAGCCCTTTGCATTTGCTAATTCCTATTGGGGATCTATCCTCTTAAGTTATTTAGGACTCAAAAGATTTCTATTGCCAAGATCCCTTGTTGTTTTGCATTCATAAAAATGTTTTTAATCTTCTTAAAATCTTCCACATTTTTAAATTTTAAGCATTTCTGCAGAATGGAAGCTACCCTGCAGAGGATATAGTTCTGGTGTCAGTTTATAGGTCATATTTATCTCACATAATCTATAAAGGGAGTCCTAAAATTCTTCCATAGGAATTGGTGAATATTAGGTGTTGAGAAGAAAACAACTTGATTGCCACCAATATGGCTGGCTGCTTTTAATGAGCTGATATGACCTGTGTACCCACTTCCATTTGAGAGGTGTGTTTCTTCTTAAAACAAAAACAAAAACAGAAAATACATATTTATAAGAGGTGTGTTTTTAAAACAAGAGCTGAAGGGTAAATGAATACACAGAGACTCATATTTTCTCTCCAGCTCCCTTTTCTTCTCCACCCTCTGCCCCAGGGGCTTTCTGAGATTTAGTGGATCTATTCCAGACTAAAAACCAACAGACAGAGATTATTCATCTATCACATTAACATGCTAGCCAGATAATTTCCCCAAGGTTTAAGCCCGAGGAAACACTGGTTCTCCTGCTTTCTGAGTCAAGTGTGTGGGCACAAGACTGTCTGTTGGTCTAGGCTGACCTAGGGAGTCAGTGATTTGAGCCGCCCAGAGGCAGCTGTCTCTCCTTCAAGCTGCTGAAGTTTTACTACCATTTCTGAGTTGTTGCTTTAGTCTACTCCAACTTCCTGGCCTTTGCCTCACCTGTGAGTGGATGGTGGGGAACAGAGGCTGGGAAACCACTTGCCCTCTCCCCTCACTTGCTCTTGTCAAGCAGGAGTTCAGGACAGCAAGAGCATCCTGAGATCAAGAGGACAGGCACCGCGGGGGGGCCCCTTAGTAAAACTCAGCTTCTTGGCCTGCTGTGAGAGTATGCTTTAGGCACAGTGCCAAGTGTCTCTAAGAAACCAGGTGGTGAGGCGCCTGATCTTATGGGCCCACAGGTTCTGAGTGATGGATTTTTTGTTAATGTATCATGTGGTTTTTCAGAAGACTCCTCAGCTTGTCTCAGCCTGCCAGCGCTCTCTCCCATGCCTCTTCTTCCCATGCACCCCAGGCAGTCTGCGTGTCCTTGGACAGACCCCCTGTTTTTTGGGGCCTGCGGATCAATGTCGTAAGGACAGTAATCCACACTGCAGCAGGCATAACCCCCATCCAGAGGTTTCCCTTTACTATTCTTGAAAACAAAAGACATTGCATGTAATTTACAAGTGTTGTTCAGAATGTAATTATTGTTTGACTAGTTTCTAATAAATGTGAACAATCTCTCTTAGGGAAAGTCTTTATCACTTATTCTATGGACACAGCCATGGAGGTGGTGAAATTCGTGAACTTTTTGTTGGTAAATGGCTTCCAAACTGCAGTAAGTATTACATCCAAAGAGAAGACTGAACAATTAAAGTGAGTACAAGGAGAAGAAAAACAAAAGGAGAATAAGTATAAATAGTTGTTGATGTTTCAAACTATATTATTTGATGTATGTGATTATGCACTAAATGCTTATGAATTCAGGTAATTATTTTCTAGATTTGAAACTATCCAGTCTCCAACATGTTTTTCCTGCATACATTTTGAGTGACCCTGAGTACCTCTGAACAGCCAGAAGGGTGTTAATGCCGACCACATATGTGGTCGGTCCCTGAAGGGAATGCCAGCCTCTTGCTGCACTTTGTAACTTTGCCCTTTTTCACAATCATGCCTGCTTTGGTTGTGCTTCCTGTGATGCAGGAAGCTACAGGCTTTACCAGGCCATCTGTTTATTTTACAAGGTCCTTTGTTGGGCCCTGGGCTGTGAGGTTTGAAGCAGAATCCCTGCAGCCTGGGTCCCCTACCGTGCACAGGTGCCATTTCACACCTTGATGCAGCAGACACGCGTCTGGACGGGGACTACATAGCCAGGTTCTCTGCTGGTCTAGTCTAGCTCCAAGGGAGGTAGACACCCCAGCTCTGTAGTTCACTGTGATCTTGGCCCAAGAAATCTCAGGAAGCACACACTCCTCAAGTTCTCCTGCAGTGCCTTGCAGCAGCACACCTTAATCTCATGTAAGTTTTTCTTTAGGATAAATAAAATTCCACGGGAACCTACATGGAGGACGGGCTCTACTCAAACACTGAGATTACTTCTTTTTCCTTCCCAGAGGCCTCCTCTGGGTATTTAGTGACAGTGAATTCTAGAGAGTGGTGAGAAATTAAGGGAAATGTCTATGAATAGCGATGTTGAAGGATAAAGGAGGAATACTTAGTAACTAAACATCAATTTTAACGATTATTTGACATTATTTAACAGGAGTTTTTATGTGAATTTTTTATTCTATAATTTTATTTTTTTAAATGGGAGTGTCTAGAAGTTTTTTAAAAAGCATACAATGTATACACTCCAACTTCATGACTATATAGAGACCAAGATTTCAATCTTTCATTTCTGTAATAAGAAAGCACTGTGGTAATTAACCATGGCATAAAATCAAACTACAGGACATAAGGCCAACATTTTCAGAAAAGATCATATTTTTGGTGATTTCCAAATAAGCATACTGATTGCCTCTGGACAAGAAGACAGGTTGTTGTGACCTTAACAATCAGGGGCTGCTTAGACAGAATTGAAATCTCTCCTCACCCCTCATCACTGTGAAGCCTTGTGGTAGAATGACAGAGCCCAGTCCTGACAGTTAAGCTACCAGATACATTAAGAACCCCCTTAGTGGAGAAAAAACTTAATGGGTAATTTAAGGAGAGTTTGAAAAAAGGACTGTTGTCAAAGCTCTAGGTAAATTTTAGGGGATTCACAGGAAATTGTGTAATATCCTTAGACAAGAAAAAGCAGGGAGTTGCTAGCACCCCTAGGTCTAAAGGGGCAAGGAATCAGTGGTTACTGCAACCAGAAGAGGGCGCTATATTGGTTTGCTATGGCTGCCATAAAGTACCACAGGCTGGGTGGCTTAAACAGCAGAAATTTATTTCCTCACAGTTCTGGAGACTAGAAGTTCAAGATCAAGGTTTTGGCAGGATTAGTTTCATTCTGAGGCTTCTTCCTTGGCTTGTAGATGACCATTTTCTCCCTCTGTCTTCATCTGGTTCTTCCCTGTGTGGGTCCTAACCTTTTATAGGACACCAGTCATTTTGGATCAGGGTCTACCCATATGACCACATTTACTGTAATTACTTCTTTAAAGGCTCTATCTCCACATAGATTCACATTCTGAGGCACTGGGGGTTAAAACTTCAACGTACAAATTTTGAGGGACACAATTTGGCCCATAATAGTGGCTATGTGGAGAAATTGGCCTGACAGAAGCTGTGGACTTTGGCAGAGATGTGGAGAGACAGATGGAAATATCCAGCACTTTGTGCCTCCCGGAATGTTCACCTCAGCAGCAGGGAATAATTTAGGTGCTGGGATAATAATACTAATAACCATTTATTGAGTACTTACATCATGCCTGGCATTATGATAGGCCTTTTCCATGTTAACTCATTTTAATCCTCCCAACCACCCTAGGAAGTAGGTTTATTAACCACATATTACAAATGAAGATAATGAGACTTAGAGAGTTGTAGTAACGTTTCCAAAGTCATATACATGGGAAGTGCAGAAGCCAACAGTAGAACCAAGAGTAGAGCCAAGCTGTCTGTCTCTTCTCAGACCCCACATTATAGTGCTTCCGTCTTGTTTAACAAATGGGTTACTGACAGTCACAGAGAGCTACAAAAGCTTTCTCAAAGTTACTTAATGTAGTCAGTGGCCATCAACATTTTAAAGAAAGACAGGGTCATCCAAACCAAAAGGAATGCCATTCCATTTTTGTGTCCCATCAGTGAAGAAGCTCACATTCTGAACTCATATTAGGTACTGTATGTATTTGACAGTTTGGTGTACACAAGGCGCGATCTCGTTCCATGAGAAGCTTAGAACCGGGCTGAAGAGATAAGGCAGACATAAATGAGGCATATATAGGGTTGTCGGAAAAGTCAAGACGTTTTTTCCCCATGTTTTTTGTTGCAAAAATGCATCATGACTTTTCCGACAACCCAATAGTAAATAAAATAATGTTATAATAATGGGTGAATTGTCCAGGACCACTAGTGGTCACAGTGGGATAAAGTTTGGTGCGGGAAGGAGGAGGAAGCCAGTGTGCTGGGAGGATTCAGAGAGCTGGGAGGCTTGTGTTGTGCTTTTAGGGTACAGTATGGGGACACCAATGTGGGGAGTAAAGAAGGCAGGGTGTGTGAGGAAAAGAGAGGTAAGGCTGGATCACAGATGGCATGGAAAGCTTGCTGAATGATTAGGACATAATCAGTCCTACAGATCAGAGTGACATTTAGGACAACTGATCTGGGAGCAGTGCAGCTGAATCAAATATCCCTTCCTCAGAGACACTCTCCCTGAGTCACCCATTCCAGTATAGAGACCCCCCTTCCATTCCAGAGTGCCCTGTACACACACACTGTTCTCTGGTTGCAGGACAAACCTGAGCCCAAGAAAGGCCTTCTTATTTGGTCTTCTGTAAAACAGAAAATATATGACTTTTTTCCTTTCCAATATTCCTTCAAAGACTTGATATTTAATATCGCCTTTTCAAGACCCAAGAGTTCTGCTTCTTGACTTTCATCATACACCTTTCCCCCGCCATCTCAGTAATTGTTTTTGTGACTGTTCCTTGGATTTGCTCCAAATTTCATACACTCCTTTTTAAACATATAGATTGAAACTGGACATAATACCATAATAATGACCTGGCTAATGCAAGTAAAGCACAATTGTAAGTCAGTACTCGCACACCATGCAGCCATTAAAATGTTCCAGAATCATGATTGCCTTTCAAATTGCAGATATATTATATAGTATATTGTGTATATATAGATATATATAGTATATTGTGTGTAGTATATTAATGGCTTATATCCAACTTGGTGGTCTACGTCTCAGATTTTTAAAACATAATTATTGTGTAGGCAAAGATACATTTTGATGCATACCACCGCTATATCCTAATTATAGATATTAAATACTTAAATGCCTACTAACGTTGAAATAGGGAACATTTTAATAAAATTGTATTTTGTTTTTTAGACTTACGTGCGCCTCCCTGAAACACGCATTAATAACATTTTCAATTTTAAATGTATATATAGTCTCTTGTGTTTTGCACTGCATTTAGAGAAAGCGTCTCATTAAAAGCCACCTCCCACATCTTTCTTTTTCTTTTTCTTTTTCTTTTTTTTTTTTTTTTGCAGATTGACATATTTGAGGATAGAATTCGAGGCATTGATATCATCAAGTGGATGGAACGCTACCTTAGAGATGTAAGTACTTTTCAAAATTCTGAGCTTAGTGTCTGGTGAGCAAGACAATGAGCTTGTGAAGTTATTTTATGAAAGAAGCACGGGCATACCCACCAAGTCCAAAGCCGAGAAAGTCCCAACAGAGCCTCGCTTGTTGGCAGCCATGCAAAGACTTGGAAAGGAAGGATTGGGTTGCCCTCCTAGACATGTACAGGCAGGAAGTAAATGGTCAAACCAGACACAGGTGGCTGATAACAATCAGAGCAAACAATTTTTTGACCAGAATAGGAAAGGAGGAAATGAAGGCAGGAGTGGGGAGGAGGCGGCAGAATTCAATTTAATCTGAGGCCACCCCAAGTGTTTCGTAGGATTGGGCTGAAGAGCTTTCCCAGGCACTTTGTGCTTTAACAAGATAGAAATTGATTGCTGCCAGCGTGTCCATGTCGGCGCTTCGGCAGCTTCTGGCTGCGTCTTTCGGAGGGAGCAGTGGGGGACAGCGTCTCAGCAGGCTGGGGTTTTGTGGCTTTTCCTTTTGTCTGCAGCCTGATATTTGCTTTGTGCTGAAGGGTCTGGTCCTTCTGACTGTGCTGACGCTGGAGCCTGGCAGTCAGGAGTGCAGTAACTGACAGCTTAGATCCAGCTGCCGGAGGGAGGGGGTATTTCATCACTGGCATTGTTGAGCCTTTCTGCCATGATGCAGAATCACTTAGAGAATCAGGCTTTCATTAGACGTTTATTAGTGATAGTTGTGGGAAATGGTGGGCAAAACCGCATCCATTTAGGAGCGCTCTTCTCGGAGCCATTTGCTCTGAGTGTTTGAAGGGAGCCGGGGAGGGAGACAGAGGGGAGATGGGGAGACAGGAGTCTGCCTGATTGGGGGCCAGTGCCTTTCACTTTCCACGGAGAATGAGCCTGGCCCCCCATTCCCGAGTGTGTCAGAGAATGCTTACAGTCCTGCTGGCCGGGTTCCAGCCTGCCATCACCAAATGGACTACATTTTACACTTTTGTAAACATGCTTTCTCCTTCTCATTAACAGAAGACAGTGATGATAATCGTAGCAATCAGCCCCAAATACAAACAGGATGTGGAAGGCGCTGAGTCGCAGCTGGACGAGGATGAGCATGGCTTACATACTAAGTACATTCATCGGATGGTGAGTGGCCGGGGAACTGCAGCTCCTCGCTGGCCCTTGGAGACACCGGTTCTTTCTTCTGTGAAAGCCTGTCCTTCACTAGAGACCAACTGAAGGGGGCATGATGATGAAGAACCCCAGGCAGGCGAGGGGGGTTTTGGTTCTGCTCTGTCTACCTTTGGGGCCTTGGGCAAGCCACCACACCTCTGGGACTCAGTGTTCCTGTCAGTAACAAGGGGAGATTAATCTGTGATCTATCTCTAAGTTCCAAGGTTCCGGAAAGCAGCACTCTGCTGGCTTGGTTGTTTACCAATAAGAATGAAGTCCTGGGCGCGGCGGGGGAAGACAGGGCTATGAGGCTGCTGACAGTGGGGCTCCTGCATCTGTGTCATATCCTGTCCCCTGACCTTTCAGAGAGGCAGAGTAGCCTAGTGAAAGGGACTCATGCTGTTGTATGGGATAGACTTGGTTCAAAGTCAGCCTGCTCATGTGTGACCGTGGGCCAACTACATAAACCTCTTGTTCCACCATGTCCCTATTCATAAAACGGGTCACTAACACTTATAGTGCTGTTGTGAAGGTTAAATGAAATAATGTTTGTGAAGTGTACGGCGTATATCAGATGCTCGATCAAGGGAAGCAATTGCTCTTAGCGCATGATAAGTGAGTGTCAGTCCATTGCCACATGAAACTATGGGACCTGGTCAAACTAAAACCAGTGGGAGAAAAATTTAGAGGGAGTTAGACTTACTCGGCATCTGATAGAACATTCTGAAAATATCACCCAGCTTTGGAACTGGCTGTTTTAAGGGCTGGCAATCTTCCTGCTTTCCGTGCTCAGAGAAACACTATAGAGACAGTTCCTGATTGACTAGGATGCCGGACTAGACTTGTGACTTTCAGACTCTCCTGTGGAGTCCCTATTGGGTGCCTGTATGTGCCGGGGGGTGCAGGTGCTCAGGGCCTCCTACCCCACCTCTGCCAGAGCTGATCTGCCTTTCTCAGGCTTGTTGGTTCAGCAAGGAATCTGAGATTTCAAAAGGCTTGAACATCACTGGACTAGAACTTGTAAGCTCCATTTCGGCCCTCACATTCGACAGCGCGGGGGAAGGCACCTGCGGTGGGCATAAAGGATCACTGACTAGGCCAGGCAAGTGGGGCAGGAAGCAAAAGTGGTCCAGGTGGAAGAAGTAAGCAGCACAAGGCAGGAGATAGGCAGTCAAGGGACCTGCAGCTTTACCTCATGGGAAGCTGACTTAAATCAGGTCTGTCCTGTGGATCAGAAGCACAGGACAAAGGTAGGGTGGGTGTTCCCCATCTGGATGGGTGGTTGTTCCCCACCTGGGTCTTTAGGGTCTCTGTTTCCTCTTCTACCGAGGGCAAGCACTTATTTGAGCTCAGAACCAACCCAAAGTGAACACCGAGGCAAGGTAGTACGGTCAAAGGGGGAGGAGGCCAAGCAGCCAGGAGACGGCGTCCCTCCTATTCCGTGCTCCCAGTCTGCGAGCCCATGGGCAGGGCCCAGAAAGGTACCATGTCTGCCCTAAAAGGTCATGGCTGTCTCTGGGTGCTGTCATCCCTTGGCTGCCTGCTGCATGTGTGCATGGCCCCAGAGCACTTGATGTCCTGTCTGCATCTCTAGGAACTGCCAGTCCCGGGAGCTGACAGCTGATGCGTGGGAAGGGCTCCAGGTCCCTGCCAGTTCCTAAGGAAACCTGTCAAGCTCTGCTGGTGTGTGGCAATGCCAGGCAGTAACACACAGTTCAACCCCAGAGCTCGCCTGACTGTGCCCAGCTATGAACCAGATTACCTCCAAACTCGAGTAATTGGGGTGATGATGGCTTGGGCCCTTCCTCATCACTGAAGGAGTTAAACAGGCCAGATACAGATGTGCCTTCTGCCTACCTGGCTGCCTCCATGGTCCGCTTCAGGCAGCAGAAACCTCTAAGACAGAGAGAGTGAAGAGGTACCCAGGAGTCACTGCATCATAGAGCCAACGACCTCACAGAAAGCCCATATATCTGGAAATATAAACACGCACTGCTGTTGGCTGGCCCCTCCGCAGGCTGAGTAGCTTAGTGAACAAATAAAATTTTATAGTATACAGTGCCCTGGAAATCAGAACCTAAATGCCGTTCTTCACGTTTAACCTATAAACCCGGTGCCCTTCCTTTCATGTCTTTGTACCAATGTGGCTGTGCTTTTAGTTGCACAGTATTTGGGTCATTTTAAAATATGCTTTTGGTGGTGTCTCCTGATTTTTAAAGGGAGGTGGCTCTGAGAAAATACCTTGTGGAGAATTTGTGTGTGCCGTGTGAATGTGTATATATGCAGATCAGTGTGCGGGTAAGAGTGCTTTTACGAGGGATTTCTTTGGTGGTTTCAATAACAAGTCATCACCACTGTCACATTCTTCTCTGTTCTGTTTTTATTCCTATGCACGATGATAATAAAAATCAATTGGAAGATGAACTAGTTGGGAACACATAATTCCTCATTGCCTTGTCATCAGAGGACTGAAAACTTTGTACTGGTCACAAAATTTGGAAGACTGTGACTCCTCTCATATGAAAATTCTGGTTTTGATAGAGTTCTTGGCAGCTCAATCTTTTTGGACGACTGCAGTGTCAGAGCAAATTGGAACTGGTGTGGGAAACCTACAGCTTGGCAGACAGAGCTCTTCACAACTGATCACCCAGCCTCATCCTCTGCTCCCTCCCAAGCCCATTCTGTGCTCTAGCTGCAATGCATTACTAGATGTTCCCAACCCACGAACATACTTTCACATCTCCAAACATTTGCTCCTTAGCCGAGAACGTCCTTCCTCACTCCCCCATTTTCCCTGCATGACCAAAGTCCCCTTTCAGTATTTAGATGACACCTCTCCGGTAACTGTCCTTCAAAGCACTGATGTGGAATGGATGGCCCCCATTTTGGGCTTCCACTGCAATTTGTTCATACTTTTCACACCGCACTGTGGTTGGTAATTTACCTTTCTCATTGATCACTAAACTGCTGGCTTTCTGAGGGTAGGGATTGGATCAGTGGTGCTCTGGTCAACTGGTTCTCCAAAATAAAAAAATAAGAAAATCCTGATTTGTAGCATTTGTCAATTTCCATGGTATAAATACTCTCACCATGCCAATTTCAAGCTACCAATGTGAAGTCACAGAACACATAATTGGGACGAGGCATGCCTATCAGGCTTTTGTGAGCCCATGCAAGCCAGCCCAGTAGACCCTAGAAGGTATCCTAACCTTGAAACCCAAAGTCTAGCACAGAGAGTGACTTTTACTAGGCCTTCAATAAGTGATTGGTGAATGAGTGAATGGCATAGATGTGTAATCGGGAGAGCTTAAAATTACAAGTGAGTGGCACTCATATAAGGAAATCAGAATAAAGATACTCTATGGGATTGCATGATTGTGGGTACCATTAACTCCTCATCTTTGTTCCTGAAATTAAACCTTTAATTTGTTCTGTTCCAGATGCAGATTGAGTTCATAAAACAAGGAAGCATGAATTTCAGATTCATCCCAGTGCTCTTCCCAAATGCTAAGAAGGTAAACAAACAAACGTTAGAATTCAAGCTTTGCTTTATTTGGCATCTGGAATTGTAAGTGGAAAACCTTGTCAGCTCTTTATCACTTCTTAGAGATAACAGTGTTGCCAGAAAGATCAACAAGTTGTACCACCCAGTTCAGCAGCAGGAATCCGGAAGGTTTAAAGCGTTATCTGATAGACCATCTCTGGCCTAATTGTTCAAACAGCAATTACACACAAAGAAGTAGTTGGTGTTTTAACTCCTGAGAGAAAAAGAGGCTGTTCATCTGATACTTCTTATCTGTTGTATATAAAAGCCAAGATGTGTACATTTTTTGCTGACTGTTCCACGGAAGTCTTTTGTTGCATATAGGTCAGCTCTCAAAGCTGTAGAATAGAGGAATTAAATCTACACAATTACCAAAGTGAACTTTGCTGTGGTTCATAGGAAAGATTTTGCACCAGTAGGGCATGTCAGCAGATTTGGGGGCAAAACCCATCTGAGGCCACGCGCCAAACTTGACAAAGAGAAACGGTGGTGTAAACATCTGGAGAGTCAGACCACAACACCCTCAGCTAGGCCCAGCCTCCACCTGGATAATCCCTAGATGTCAGGGCTACATTGAGACTCCCGCCCTGGACAGGGAGGGTGCCATTTATGTGAATGGGACACTAGGGCTGCACAGTTCACAACCTGCACAATAGCGTGTCTTTCCATCCCTTGCCTAGGCTCTCACTGCTCTCATTGCAAGATCTTCTTACTGAGTTCCCTATCTCCGCTCTGACCGTATACTAGCCATCCTCTGCTCTGCCATCAAAGACAAACATCCAAAATGTAGACCTGATCGATCTCTCTCCAGCTTAGAAATTTTGTGGTGGTTTCCCACTGACTACAAGATCATATCCACCTTTCTTAGCATGATATATGAGGGAGGCCCCTAGGAGAGGGCTGTGCCCACTTGTTCAGCCTTCTCTCTCGTATTGCCATGTGCACAGGTGACGATGTTTTGGTCAGACTGGACTGTTTCAGCGTGCCCTCACATGCCATGTTCTTTCATGTTTCCGTGCCTTTGCACTTGCTGTTCTCTCTGCCTGCAACACACTTATCTGTCCAGTGAACTCTTGCTTGTCGTTATATTACCCAATCTCGCTAGCCTCTTCTGCTCTTCCCCCATGCCGATATATTGAATTGTGCCTCTCTTGAGGCTCTTCTAGTACCTTGAGTCAATGGTATGTGGTTGGGGTAGAGGCGCTGGGAGTAATGGTTTAGAATCACTAGGGCGCGATGATAGAAAAAACAGACCAACTTTCAGTTGGTTTTATTAACGTTTTTAAAACTTCTTCAGACAATCCCTTTTGTTGCCTGTGCTGGGGCAGACTGCTCCCACCACCTGCCCCCCTGGGTACGCCATTGCGTAGAAAATAGTTTCTTTTTCTTTATATTTTGACTCCATCATAAGACTGAACTCTTCAAGGCAGTAACTGTCTTTTCCATTTGCGTATCCTCAATCCCCAGCATGATACCTGACACATAGCAGGTGCCGCTCCTAAGCTCACCTTGCAGTCCCCAAAGGCATGCCATCTACTCAGAGAACCCTGCAAGGCCCTGTCTGACGCAGCTCCCTCTGCTTCCAGACCCCCTCCCATACTCCTTCTCACTCACCCTTCTCTAGCCACACAGGCCAGGCACGCTCCTACCAGGGCCTTTGCACTGGCTCTTCGGCGCCTGGACCCAGACCTCCACAAAGCTTGCTCCCTCCACTCTTCCTAAACACCCTATTTAAAACTGCAAACCTTTCATCCCAGCCCCAGCACTGCCTATCCTCTCTCTGTTTTATTTATCTCCACAGCATGTATCACCAATGAACACACTATACATTTTACCCATTCATTATCTGCCTTTCCGCACAGAATGTCCACTCCGTGAGGGTAGTCTAAAACTGCACCTCTGCAACCCCCAGCTCACAGTTTCTGCCTTTTGCCTGATAACTGAGGTCTGGTGGGCTCCTTTTACTGCAAGCCAGACCTGTGGCTGACGTGAAAGGATAATGAATTAGATTAAGCCCACAACCTTGGCATACTTCTTACGAAGCCATAGGGGAATTCCCATCACTCTGTATGACCTCGGTCCTACCCCTTTTATGTGAGGGTGGTGAAAAGCACGTTGAAATGCAAAGGGCAGGTAGTCTGGGAGACTGACAGAAAATGCTGTGCACATGTGGTTTCCATAATGAGATATACAGCTTGCACCCGAAGCCAAGAGCCTGTCACATGCTAACCCCTTCCAAAAGCAAAACAGCGCAACCCCCCGGATCGCTGGGTAGGAAACGCCCCTGAAGGGAAAGCCATAAATGTTTGGGAACTGAGCCTGGGATCTGGAATCCAGGTTTTTCTCTAATGGCCTTTGCTCCTGTCATTCTTTCTCCCATAGGAGCATGTGCCCACCTGGCTTCAGAACACTCACATCTACAGCTGGCCCAAGAATAAAAAAAACATCCTTCTGCGGCTGCTCAGAGAAGAAGAGTATGTGGCTCCTCCCCGGGGGCCTCTGCCCACCCTGCAGGTGGTACCCTTGTGACACCCTTCACCCCCAGATCACTGGGGCCATGCCACAGCTAGGGCCCCATTCACACAAGGCACCCTTCTAGCTGAGGCTGGGTGGCAGCATTCGTAGCTGTTTTCAGCCTCTCCCTGAGGGGTCCTCCAACCCCAGAAGACCTGTTCTGCAGAGTACTCTTCCTCCTGAGACCTCCACACACCCTGTCTTTGAAACGGTCATGGCTGCTCTGTATAGTCCCTGCTTCTTACATCCACTGCCTGTTCCTCCAGACAGTCTGGTGCATCCATTCTGGGCCTCTCGCTGCTTAGCAGGTAGATCATAGAAATGATGTTGCAATAAATGGAAATGACCACAAACACCTTCCCGTTGCTTAAGGCTACTTTTCTGAGTTCAGCAGATGCTTGTGTGGCCTTTGACCAAAAAGACCCATGTACAAATAATAAAATGTTTACTCTTTTGTAAGATTGTGTTTCACTTATCTCAAAGGAGACAGATATATGTTAATTTATAATAATATGGGCAGTTGCTTCCAGGGACATCAGTGAAGCTCCTTAGATATAATATTAGATAAATGTAACAGATTACTTTGTATTAAAGGATTAAAGCCAGATAGTTAAACAATCCCTTTTGACATACTCTTGAAAGCTTCATTTGTGCAGTAGAACTTTTTTTTTCAGTAGAACTTTTTAACGAAACAACTTTGTACAACACATGACTACGGTTCTAAATAGAGTCATAGTTCTTTCGGTCTGGCTGTATATGTAAAAGCATTTGTTTATCGTAGGGAGTGACGGAGTGTATCATGCAGGCTAGAATTGTGTTTTGGGAGGCTTGTGTTCTACTCTTGGTTCTATCACTAACTGCTGTGTGACTTGAAGCAATTCCTTTCACTTTTCTGAAACCGAGGACTCATTTATAAAATGACATGGACAAAAAAGTATCTCTAATGACCCTGAAAGGTTTAAGGTCTAGGACCGAAATCCTAAATACTCTTCAGGAATGACTGAGTTTTCATTTTCATAGTTATATCTCCCAGGGGATGTAGTGATAAAGTTACATTTTCTTAACAGGGACATTTTCTTCTCGCTTTTTAAAGTATTATCAATAATACCCTCACATTAATAATTTTAGAAAAAAAAATATATATCTTGCTCATCTGGTCTCCAAAAACAGAATAAATAAATAAATAAATATATATTTATAATATATATTATATATAATATATAATGTATATAGATATATAGATATATGGATGTATTCATATTCTATTATGTCTGTCTACCTAACCTCTTAAACAAGGCTCAATTGTACTATGAGAGTTCAACCCTTATATATTACCATAGGGAAGACAAATACTTATTAACTATAAATAACTAAGGAACTTTGCTAATCAATTACAAAGAACACTAGTTTTATTTACATTATAATCTATTGGGTTGTCAGAAAAGTCATGATGCATTTTTGCAATGAAAAACGTAGAAAAAATACGTCATGACTTTTCTGACAACCCAATAGATATCGACTGGTTAAGGTGAATGTCTTTGTTTCTTTTTTAAAAAACAAAAAGGAAAAGAAAAGCTCGTATGCCTGAAATACTCATTTGTAAGACTCAATGCCAAGTCCCTCTAGCTCCATAGTATTTGAGACCTGGTAGAACTGACTCGTTTCATTAACTCAAAATGCCTGGAAAACACAAACTTCAAGCCTTCTTTCTCTCTTCTTATTCTCTTTTGTTGGAGGTGACACCATCATTAAGGAGTCTACACACAGTTGTAAATAAAATGACCTCAACAATTATTACTCTGAAATGTTTCTAGCTTGCAAAGGTTTAATAATATGTTATTAACCCTTCCTCCCCTCAGAGACCTGTCCTGAGTGTTCAGCTATGATTCCTACCCCAGGTGAATGACGAGGGAAGGTCCCTGGGGCGCCACAAACAGTCATTAAAGTGCTGCAGCTGATAGCACTGGTATCAAAAAAAACAAAAAGCGCGAGCGCACACACATGACACCTGGCCCAGTGATGAAAGTCTGACCCCTGAAGTTTCTGTGAAATCTGATGACCATGCACATTACAGGAATTTTAACAACAATTTTAGAGCACTGACATGAAGATTAACGCTTGGTTTATTTAGACATTCTCCTGGTCCTCATGCATTCATCAGTAGATATTTTTGGGGTGGAGGTGGGGTAGGGCTGACAACAGTAAAAATAACCTCTTAGCCTCAGGCTTTATTCGGACCTAACCTGATTTTAGGGGTGAGGTGTGCAGAATGGAAAGTTAGATTCTTGTCTAATATTTAGTGACTAACTTAAAATTTAAAATACAATTTTGAATTTCAGTGACTGGTTTCAAAATACCTGCCTGTTTAGTTCAATTTAACTTCTATACTGTTCAGACATCTCCGTTCGTGGCTATAATCAAAGAATGAGACTAGCTATTTCTCAGCTCAATGCTCAGAAATATTATTGTAGTTGATACCCTTTTCTATTTTTTCCTATTAAATAAATCACTTATTTAATGATTGAATTATTCTCAGAGTCATCTCAATAAGGGAGGCAAGATCTCTATTTTGAACATTCCAGGCCTTGTTTCGTGATGTCTCGCCAACTGCATCCTTGTTAATTTCATCAACTACCTCATCCACTTTGCCACACACCCTATTGTCACCATCATCTTTGCCAAATGGATTACAAAGTCTTATGATCATTGAGAAATGATCCAGAAAGAGTGCGTCAAACACAGGATCTTTCTGTTTCTTCTTAAATGAACCAAGAAGAATCAGTGAGACCCACCTTCCTCGTGGCAACTGAAAAAAGAAGGAAAGTTAGACTATGGGAAAATACCACAAAGTAGAAATGCCACGCATCCTGAAGAATTATGCACTATTTTTCAAGATAAAATAGCTCTACCTGAGCCCACCAACCAAATAAACAACAAAAACCACACAGGAAGAAAGCAAGCACCAAAATCAATTTAATTCTCATATCACTTATTTCTGTCATGGAATTTTCAGTCTGGAAAGGACCCTAAAAACCCTGTACCTTTATGCATGAGAAAAGTGGGGCCCCCGATAACTATAGCTTGTCTAAGTTTGCCCTGGCTAGAACCTAGGTATCCTGGTTTCTAATCTGCAGACATTTATTTGGTGAACCTAGAAAGCTTTCTGGTTTTTGATGGCAGGTTTGTTCAACAACTGACCGAATATCTCCCAGAGGTAAACTGAGCCTCGTGAACATAGGAGGCCTAAGGGAAGATGCATCTCCGTCCTCTGGTGCCTGGAGGGATCAAATGATCGTGTTGCAACTTGTTCTGTGGGAAATTCTTTGGGGAATTAATTACTGCTGTGATTATATGGAGTGTGACTTGAAGTAGTTTGGCATATTTATTTTATACTGGTATTATATGAAACCAAAGCACAAATTAAAAGACCTTGACACTTCCCTGAAGCATATAGACAAAACCTGTTACTAGTCAGATCAATTTTAGTTTTATCCAGCCAATCTCAAAAAAAAAAAAAAGAAAATGGTTTTTATTTTTAAATATGTTCTTTCATCTTTCCCTCCCACTTCGGATTCTGCAAGAGTGGCACTTGTTGGCATAATCCATCGCGGTTTGGAACACCTGCATTACCTTCCAGGGGAAGAAATGAGAAATGTAGGGGTCATGCAACCTCTCCTTTGGGTGGGGGAGGCTGCAGGAAGGGTACATTTTATCATGAGGCACATCCACAACACAGTGGAGCCCGGCACAATCAATACTGCTGGCATTTGGGGAGGCCGTGTGCCCTGGCAGAATAGCATGTTCTTGACTTCATACTTATTTGTCCCATTTTCTACTGGAAAAAGCTTTCAGATAGAATCACTTGGTGGCAGGTGGGAGGCTTTCACAGACCCTGGGCAGTTACCTGCTGCCAACTCACACATGTGTGACACAGCCCCTCCATCTGTGACTGCGCACTTGTTCCCAAATTCGTAGCCTCAAGCCAAGCAGGCTGGAAGAGGAACACACAGGGTAGTTTAGTTCTCTAACTTTCAAAAAGCATATGAGTATAGGTCTAGGTCACACCTACCCTGGGATTTAGGAAGTGATATTTGAGCCTTTGCTAAACAATAAAAGTCTTGGACCAAAGTGTACCTGGGCAAAGGTGACCATGTCCTGGGCCTGCCTGCTCTTTTCTAGAAACACCCCTGTGGGAGGAGTCATTGCAGCCCCCGGATCTCCCAGGACTTGTAAACTAAAACCATGAGGGCACACATTTCTTGTCCCTTGCCTGACCTCCCTTTGCTCCCTTCACCAGGAAGGCGCTGATGGTAGAAAGGCAGCTGGGAGAGGAGGGGAGAGGGAGGGAGGGAGAGCGAGCGAGCTCGTGCCTGATGGGTCCCATTAGGCTTAGTGTGCAAAGCAAGTTGCAATGAAGTAGCTGCTCTTGGATGCGTCCAAAACTGCTGTTCTATTTTTAGTCTCTCCCGCGTGCTTCTTAGCCCCGCATTGTACGCCTGGGCACCTGGATCCGCGGCAAAACGTGGAACTGAGCCACTCATTTGTAACACTGGAAGGGAGAAGGCCATTGATGCTGGGCTTGTTTATCGCTGACAGGGAAGGAGGACCTGGAATGTTAATGAGGACGGCTCTCTGAAGCATGCCTTCATGGTTAGCTAAGAGTTCAAAGGAGGAGGCAGCCTCGGTCCTGCGCCAGACAAATGGGAACCGTTGATAGAGGGAAGGAGAAATCAATTATGCTGTCGCAGGCCTCCATGTCATTGTGTTGGAGTTGTTAGAAAAGGTAGGACAAGGACCAGATCTCAAAAGGAAACAAAGCCACATGGCCTTGAAGTATAACGAGTTTGCCATGGCAACTGATGGAAATGAGCCTCCCGGGCACCGAGCAGGTGTGTTATCTTACAGAATAAACATACTTCTCTCACTCCCTGGTTTTTATAATAAAACCTGTGTTTGGATTAGTTTCCCCTCCTCTTTGTTACCCGGAGAAGTTGGCTGTTGCCCAATCAGCCCAGGGCTCTAGCGAGGGAAATGTAATCAGCGTTATCAAAAGGGCTGCTTTTGAAAAGCTGGCGCTCGGCTTGGCGTCCAGCCTCGTCACTGAGCAGCAGCTGGGCCGCAGGTACCTGTCTGGCCTTTGCACCTTCCAGGCGATGTCCTCCACAGAAAGCCTCTTGTTCACACATTCATCCAGGCATGACGGTGAGGCCCAGCTCCCCAGGGGACAGTGGTCAAAAGCTGCATTCTTCTTAAGGGAGGAGAATCGTGTTTAGGTGAGGCTGGGACCTGGCCAATTTTCAGCATCCTGTGTTATCTGGGATATGAGCCAAGAAGTCCTTGAGTTCAGGGATTAACTGATTCTATCTTCCAATCTGTTGTTAGCTACAAAGTTCAGTTACTCAGAAACTTGCAGAGGGCTGCTGTTTCCCTGTTCTTTAAATCCCTCTCAAACAGGTTCT